ACATGATTTTACTTATGTGAATGAATTTGAATTTTAAATATCTAAACCAAAATTTTTAATTATATTTAATCATAACAACTACGTAATATTAATATTTCTTTATTTGTAAATAAATCGTTAATAAGAAACTCCGAATTTAACTCGTGAGACAAATATGATTCAAATGTCGAATTAAGTAAGTCTGTGGTTGCTTTCACACTTTCTTTTTTTTTATCTTTCTTAGCAAACTTTTTGGAATCTCGGTTCATTTTTTCCTGGCATCAGGAATATTAACACATGCACCCTCCCTCATCTTGGAATCTTGTTGTAATGTGAATTTGAAACTCTGGAAGCTTTCTTGTTCAATACCAATTATTTTGTCGAAGGAAATATAAATTTGAAACCTTTTTTGGTTTAAAGTTTTTTCTTGCTACATTCTTGGAAAGCTTCTCCAAATTGTGCGCATGCTTCTTTATTCATTTGGTTAATATCATCATTAGATAGAATTTCTTGCTGTTGATAATTATGTTGCCCTTTCCTAAAGCCTGTCCAATACTAGCTAATTTAGCCATGACATTACTTCATTCTCCAATAATCCCTTCTTTGTTAGCTTTTCAGACTTCTTCTACCTCTTCATATTCTTTGAGCATGGGTACTAAATGTTGATGTTTTACACAATAATTGCCATAACTCTTTTAATATTTAGGGGTAATGTGTAAATAGTAATGAATAACACTTTGTTCATCTCAGGGTTTATCAATTGTAGTAATAGTAATAAGAGCAAATCCTACTGGGTGATAGATATTTTTTTGATTCTATTGATGCTATCTTTAATAGCCAAGAGAACCTTTTTATTCTTCTTCTGTTAGTTGAAATGCATTGTACAAGGTTTCTTGGTAATTACTAATAAATGACCCTTGGAGTTTGGGTGCTGGCTTGTAATTGAGAAAATTTTCACATTTTCCCAAACAAAATTACCTGGATGCTCAGTAGTCATTTTGCAAAAAGAACAATTTTTTTCATGTTCTGCTATAATATCAGTTCTTTATTTGTCTCAAGAAATAAATATACCTGACAAAATGTGATTATTTAGGGCAACAAAACCAAGTGAACATTTATATTACAAAAGACTTCAGGGTTCTAAATTCAGTATGGGAGTGCCCAAATGGTACAGTTGAACCTTGTTACAACAAATTTTGAAAAAAAAATTTTTTATAGTTGGCTTGGCCTAAATTTTCTGCAAATTTTAAAAGTATGGAAGTAATTTTCTGTCCCACCTTTTAAAAAAATTAGCTCTATTAGTTGATATAATAGGTATTTAGGTTTAATGCAATAAAGAGTTTTCTCAAAAAAATTATTTGTTGTAGAGTTCTATTCTTTTTTAAAATATGTACTTTACTATGCTCATGAGGAATTTAGCACTAGGATCATTGCTAAATTTAAGCTAGATTTCGTCCAACATTACTAAATTTAGAAAATCCTCAACCATCATATCTAAATTTGGCAGTAAGGAAAATAAATTTTCAACCAAAATCATGTGAAGGCCTTTTTTGAAAATTTTTTATTGCATTTTTGAATCACAAAATCACAACTTTTGAAATTTGTGTGCATACAATTAAAAAAGGAAGCTGAAGAAATGTTGGTAGAGTAATAAGAAATGACTGTCAGATAACAACTGGATATAAAGAAGGTATAATCAACAATTTAATAGCCACAACTCAGAAATGGAAAATTATAAATTAACTAACACACCACCAAATCATTTAACTATAGATTCATTGAAAAAATCACAAAACCGGAGAATGCATAGATATTAATATTATAAATTATGCAGAATATAGTAATATTAATAATGTTTTTAATGTGGAATTTGATTTTAGCATGAATGGAATTAGTGTTTCATCACAATAATTGTAAAAAGTACCAGAAGAGCAGGGAGGTGGGGGAGGGATGCAATTTGATGATTTTAAAGACATTCTTAGTAATCTAACATTTGGTGGTGCTGAGCATAGCGGACATTTGAATTTGTCACATGTGACAAAATCGATTGGCGATCTTTTTTATATTGTGTGACCGTTCGAA